TTCTCTGTGATGCTATGGGATTCTAGTAATTTTTCAACTTTTTTCCTAAATTCCTCTGCAGAGTGTTTAAACTTAATGGATTCTTCCTGAAATAGAACCATCTTTTTACGTGCCATTTGTTCATCTAGAGTCTTCTGGTGGAGTTCATCCTGTAATTTTTTTAGTTTATCAGTTAGCTCTTGAACATGAGCTTGTTGCAGTCGTATTTTCTGCTCATTCATACTCTTTTCCGTAGTTAGAGCATTCACTTGTGCATTTAGATTTTTAACCTCTAGGTTTATAGTTACGGTGGAAGCACTCTGTTTATCATAATTTTGTTTATATTCACTGACTAACCCTTTTGTTTTTGCTAGCTCATCTTCTAGGCTTTTGACTTTACATATGAATTCTTGCTCAATTATTGTTTGCTTGTGCAATTGTTCATTTGTCGTACGCAGTTGCTCTTTGAAACCATCTGCTAGTGCTTTCAATGCATCGTTTTTCCTTTGAATACTTTGCTTTTCCAGAGTTATCTTCTCTGATTCAGACTGAATTTGTTTCATGAGTAGTTTTGTGTCAGTATTCCATTTATTAAGCTCCTCTATCTTTTGTTTCAATGTTTCTGATGCCTGAATGCTTTTGGCTAATTCACCTTTCAACATGTGAATTTCCTCTAAGTTTTCCTTCTCTACTTTTGTTTTTTGAAGCAATTGTTCCTGAATTTTCTGATATTGATCTTGAAGATTGCTTGCTTCTCCTTTGCATGACTGTGTTCTATATTCAGCTGCCACCTTTTCTTTTTGAAGTGAGCAGATTTGTGAATTTAACTGTTTTATAGTGATTTCAGCTTTTGTCTGTGATCTAGTTAATTCTTCTACTTCTCTTTTCAGTTGTGTCTTTTCTTGCTGGACAGATTTCAGCTCCTCCTGATAGTTCATCTTAACTTTCTTAAGATCTATAGCTTCTTGCATCACCTCATCAGCTTTATCTGTTGTTCTGTGTAGCTGCTTTTCCAATTCTTTCAACTGTTGCAAATATCCCTGCTCTACTTGGTCTTTTTCCTCCAACTTAATTTTTAGGCACTTAAGTGCATTGTTGGCTTCATCTAATTTTTCTTTTAGTAAACGAGACTTTTCTTCTGCTGATGATTTTTGAAGCTCAATTGCATTCAGTTCATATTTCAGGTCTTTAATAGTTTTATCAGCTTTTCTGTTGGTAAGAGTTAGCTCATCTACCTTCTGTTTAAGCTCTTCTACTTTTTTTGCTTCTTGTTTCTTCTGGAAACCTGTAACTTCAGAATCAGTCCTACACTGGCTGCCTTGCCCAGCTGTGTAAGTAGGCAGGACACTCTCTCTAGTTATAGAGTGTCTGCCTTCAACAACCTTCCTTCTGGCTTCAGTCTTCTCTTTTTCTTGCAATTTTATTTCTGATAAATGTCCTTTAAATTCAAGATTTTGTTCCATTTGCTTTATTATTTTCATAAGTTTCTCTTCTCCTTCTGTTTTTTTCTTCAGCTCCTGCATTAAGGATTTTTTTTGTTGCTCTAAGTCATGAAGATTTGTATCTTTTCTTCTTAGATGCTCTTCAAGGTTTCTTCTAGTAAAGGTGCTTTCTTCTATTTGATTTCGAAAAGCCCGGAGGTTTTCTTCCAGTATACTTCTTTGAGTCTCTGCCTGAGAAATGAGCTGCCTCACATGCTCCAACTCCTGCTTTGCCTCTGCTTTCTCTTTCTCAAGGCTCTCTAGATCTATATGCAACTGCTTTGCCTCTTGCTCAGCTTTGGTTTTCTGAAGACAGATCTCTTCCATGTCCTTTTGCAGTTTCTTCCGCTCATTTTCTGCAGCTTCCCTCACTTTAGGGAGTTCCTGTTCCACTTGGAACTTCTGTTTCTTCATATCCTCCAACATGTCCTCAAGTGTTTTAATCTTTCCTATGAGTTTTCTGTTCTCATCAATGGTGCTATTTTGCTGTGCCATTAGATCTGAATATGCTTCACGCACTGATGCTTCCTTATTCTTTAAAATCTGTAAAAGAATAAAATAAGTTCGAATCTACTTTTTGTAATACAGCAAATGAAACATGCTAGGCTCTTTGAAAAGCAGAGTGGAAAATACTTACTCATATACATATGTATGTCCAGAGAGTAGGACGAGCAGATCCCACCACCATCACTTTCTCTTGACACAGCAAGCTTCCAGAAGTAACCATTAGCCAAATATGAAACCCTTCATGACGACATCCACAAAGAGAAGTCCTGAAGACTCTCACTTCAGTCAGATGCCTCTTAGCAGTTAGCAGAGTCAAACAAACAGCTTGCACATGCTTTTTCTCCAAACAAACAGGTAGAGCAAACAGTGAGCCAAACAAAATGTGCAAGGACTGGCAAGGAGAAAGAGATCTAGCATTTCTGGATTAGTTTAGTAGGAATTGGAAGTATTTAATGCTTGCAAGCAAAAATAATACAAAAGGAGCTTGGAAATCCCCTCCAAGAAAATAAACAGTCTCTAGAGCTAGAGTCTAGATGCATCTGTTCCAGGAACAGAAGTATCTAAACCCCAGTACATCCACGCTCCACAGTGTGCTGCACAGTCCCACTCACTCCCCTGCCTCAGCAGGGGGACCTGTAAGAGCACAGCTCCTATGCAGAGCAGACTCAGTCAGAAGTATTAACTTGTGGTAACTAGCATATGGAAAACCTTAGTGAAACCAAGAGGCCAGTAGTCTTCATGTGTTAGCACGTCAAGGAAAACACTACGGGCACGGCATGTATTCACCAACAATATGTTTGAAACTATACATACCTCATCTTCATTAGCACGGTTATGGCGTTAGTTACCAAATGTGAACTACTAAAAGGTAAGAATATACCCTCATTCCTGCGATCATAAGAATATGGCATGAAGGGAAATTATAGCAATTTTTTCAAATAAACAAAATGCTGTTTTAGTTCAAATTTAACAGATTTACTTGACTTTTCAGATGATATGTAAACCTTATTTCCTAAAAGGCTAATGCAAAGGCAGCTTCTTTACTTTGTCCGTATTCCTCTTTGTCCCTCCATATGGACAATTTTGAACAGATTCCAAAGGATATGAAACATTTAGATTAATTTCTTATCACATCTTCTTTTCTGCTCTCATAGTCACAAAAGCTAATGCAACATGCTTGAAAAAAGACATCTGAAAATATAGATACAGTCACAAATTTTTTTTTTTTTAGCTTCCATTATTTTAATCACGATGGCTGAGCATTAGCTGGGTGGAGAAAAGGAAGGCAATTAAACAGTAATGTAAAATGAACATATTGATAAATATTTAAGAACTTAAAATCTTTTTAGAATCTCAAGATGTAATTATATCACGAGAATATTCATTGCTTAAATTATGTTCAATCAACTTTAAATCAGCTTGATTTTGATATATCTTGCGATTCAAATGTTGATTTTGATTGATTTAGAATAATTTTTAAATTGTTTCAGTTGCACTATATAAAAACGCTGGTACCTCAAAAATATCTGTGGTCCTTTTCTCTTCATTATCATTGACTTTTTTTTTTTGTTTTTCTTCTTTTTCAAGTGAGTATTTATTTCCTGTGTTTTCACAGACTGTTTTCTGCAGTTTACCGGTTTTTCCAAGTATGTTTGTGCTATGACCTTTATCTTTACTTTCCATTTCTCCAACTAGCAATAAATCTTGATATTTCTCACCCTGTTCTAAATTGTTCTCTCCACTCAGCTTGTTCTCACTTATATTTATGTTGTCTAAACCATAAATTTTTCTCTGCAACATTTCCTTGTCACTTAATTTCTCATCATGACTCAAAAGCTTTTTTCCTAGTCCATGTTCTGAAAATCGAAAATAATTCTCTCCTCCAGAAACGAATTCCGAGAGGACTATTTTATCATTTCGGTCACCTGCATTTCCCAATAATTCTATACTTAAACTAGGATCACTCTGCACTGGTGGCATTTCAAAATCTAATGTATGTGATTCAGAGACTTCTGCCGTATGCTGATTCTCTATGTTTCCAGAAGAAATATCCAAAATTCCTTGAACTCTACTCTTGGCTTTATTTGGATTTACATTTGATTTTCCTCGGATTTTAATTTCTGTTAAGTAGCAGCTTTCATCCAGAGATGTTCCATGCACTTTCTTTGTATCCTTTTCATCACTATCAGAAACACCTGGATTGCTCCCAGAGCGTAAACTTAGCTTCATTACATTTTCATTTCCATTGTACACCGCCAGTTCTCTGAAAGAGGATGCAACTTTCTCTACAGGAACTGCATACCTCACAGCTGATAAAGAGTCACATTCTTCATCATACGCTTGATTGTCTTCAGAGTGTAAGGTATTGTGGTTACTGCTTTCTGAAAGGCAATGTTCTCTATGCTGACATTCAAAAAGTGTTCTTGCTGAAAAATGTTGCTGCTCGTAAGGGCTGATATCCAGGGCATGCTTCCCAGTTTTTGGAATAACTTCATCTTTCTTTGTTGTCAGCGTAAAATCAGTTTCTGACTGCATCCCAAATTCTTCCTTTTTTGGAACACTGCTCCTTGCCTTTCTTGAAAAATCTTTTACTTTGTTTTTAGGCACTGCTTGCAGTTCAGATAACTTCTCTGATACTCCTTCTGTTTTCTGGGTGACTCCATTAACAATTTGTTGATTTAACATTTCAACAGGATCATCATTCACACTCACCCAGTTCTCAGCTGAAACAAAACCATCTTTTCTACCATTTTCTTTTCCTTCATTTTGATTACCAAAACCCACTATACTCTCTTGCACTGTATGTAGCTTATTATCTCTGTTATCTCTAATGCCACTCTCTTGACCACTGAAATTTAAAAATTGCTTGAATGCTCTAGCAGCTTTGATTCCATCATATGTGTCTGCTTCAAATTCTCCTTTGTGACTTTCTAATTTATTTTCTGTACATTTACATTTACTGCAAGAGTTATCTTTTTGCAAATACTCCACATCCATCAAGCTTTCAGGAGGCGTGTTTTTCTCTCTCGATTCAACTGCTTCATTATATCCCAAATGTTCAAGGACTTCAGCTGACTTCACAGGTTTCTGGAGTTCACTCTCATCTGGTAAACTCTGAGCATGACAGCACATGGATTAGATTGAGATTTAATGGAAAGGACTGTATTTTGTCCTTATTCTTAAATGCCATTACTGAGAGTTAGGAAGAAACACTGACATAGAAGAAAATCTTGAATGATCGCAGGAGATTTCAGAGTTCTGATCCCAGAAAAAATTATTAATAATCTCCCTTTGAAAAGGATTATTCATTTTCAGATTTGCTACCCTGAATACTGTGAAGAGCTCATCAAATCGCGTTGAGACTGGAAACCTATTTAGGTTATCTTCAAAGAAGCTATCAAAGATTTAAGAGCTTTGGGAAGTTTTTGTTTTGTTTTGTTTTGTTTTTGTCTGTCTGTTTTCTTTTTTCAAAAAAAGCAGCCCTGGAGATTCAGAACAGACTGAAACTCAAGAGTTTAAAATATTCCATTTGTTGTTGTGCAACGTGAGGCCAGCCTGTCAGCATTCAAAGGAATCCTGATCCCTGAATGTTTTTTTTCAATTTTCATCCATGACAGCATTAGTATTATAAGCTATACTAAATCCTCAGTTATAATGCTATTTATTGAGAAAGGTTTATGTATTTCAACCTGTAAACTATACCACTTTATGATATACCCCATGTAAGTTATTTATGTTATCAGTTTGCTCTAAGGTATTCACCAGCAAGAAAATGGAATAAAGACAAAGACTGCACCAGAATGACATAACATTCCTTTGAGAATTGAATTTTTTACTGTGAGAATGACGAAAAAGAAGAACTTAAATGTATTTTTCTGATTATTTTGAATAGTGCTTCCACAGAAAGTATTTATTCTGTGTGACTTTTGTCTGCTCAAACTCAGTAACCTACTCCTGTTAATGAGATTCAACATTAAGTATAAATAAAATGTTATCTGATCCCAAAAAGCTAATACAGTAAAAAAGGAAAAAGAAAAAAATCTAAATATGTCAAATAAGCTTAAAAAAATTAATTAAGAGGATACTGCATCCCCTTGTTTCAGGCATTTCCTTATATGCGCTAAGTGGACCAATATGCATATTATGGAATATTAAGGTTTACACAGAATATGTACACTGAGCGTGCCCTCAGCTTAATGTTTGCATTTATCTTAGAGATCAGGCCGTAAGACATTAAAACACTAAAATGTACCGTATATGACTACCTCTCTAGCAGAGTTTAGTGAGTCATACGGCCCTTCTATCTGGAAGGACTGGTAAAATGTAAGGATGGCATGCTTATATGAATGATAATGGTATAATCTAATACTCCTATATTCCCAGATAAAATGCAGGATATAAGAAACTTCAGACTTTTGTATATGCTGCTAACTTTGTAATCAGTTCCAGAAGGTATATTATTCCTGGTTTGCCCCACTGTTCTTTCTGCTTGTTTGGTTGGTTGGCTTTAAGGGGGTGACCTACCTCCTCCTCCTCCAGTCTTTTCAGAGAGTCACCTGCAAACTTAATGTACTGGGTCATCAAGGTCACTAAGGCAGTATAACGAGTCCGTAAATCCATGAACTGCAGAGAAACAAAGGAAGAAGGAAATGGAGAAGAAAACGCTCTTAGTGACGCTGGATGCCTTAAAACGTAAAAACACAGCATCTGATACTATCCTTCAGTGAACTGATATACAGCGCTTTGGAAACTATCCTGATTTTGAATCCAAAGTCACAAGAGACATATAAACACCACCAAAAGGCTGCACTAGCACAAATATATCCTAAGAACAATTAGTTTAACATATAGACTGGTTACAGCCTATATCAGATCTGAAGACAAGTGCCCTGGTATCCAATGGCCATAACTGGTGGGGAGGAGCTGCAGAATAAAATAATCATCTCAACCAATGGGGATCTTGCATAACTCATCTCCCATAAAGTACATTACAGGATTAGAACTGGATCATAGTATCACAGAAGAGACCAGGTGACATCAGCTGGATTGATGCTCCCGTGCCAAGCAGAGGCTTCAGAAAAAAACATTCTTAAATTCAACTCTGATCCAGTGTTAAGGGAATGAAACTAAAACTACAGACCACAAGGAGAAGAAACGAGACGGAAAAAAAAGTTTTGATTTCACGGTCACTTGTTTCTGCTCTCTACAGAAACATGTTACTGCAGGGACAAGCAGTGCTGTTCACCCTTCCTCTGACAGCGAGCAGGCAGACAGATTTACCTTTCCCACACAAATGAGGCTGAGTGATTATATGCCTCTGAATCTGTCACAATGTCCAGATCTACTAAGTTTTACCACAAAGATAAACACTCCCTCTGTTTGCTGAGACCAAAATCCAATCCAAAGGTAACTATGAACAGTTTTACTGATATACATTTCTCAAACAATTTTTTTATAAGCTGGGGTGAGGGGGGAGCACAGGTCTCTACATCTACAGCAATGTCCTCCTTCTTAATCTGAACACTCCATAATATTCAATAACATATTTATCACAGCATGTAGCTATGGAGAGTAAGATCATGCTTGGGTTACTCTGTTTGAATTATTAATAAATCCTAAATCCCATGCTTGTGTTTCCTCTGTTTTAAGTAAAGACTCAAAAAAATATATTTTTTCCTGCCACAAGAAATCTATTTACCTCTTGAATAATGAAGTCTGATGAGCTTTGCATTCTTCGGCGTTTCACTGGAGATTTTTGCTGGGAGTCAACCATAGCTCTGTAGGTCATCGTCTGCAACTCATAGTCCTGTAAAAAGATAAAATACACAAAACGATCAGTATTCTACATGATACAGGCACTAAGTAAAGGATTCAAAGTATGCAATTTTTTATTACCTTCACAGCAGCTGAATATTGTTCTGAATATTTCTGGCATTCATCTATTTTGCTTTGTTTCATTTCAATCTCAGAAACCAGCATCTGTAAAATATGCGCATATAATCGTCATCAGAAAAAAATATTTTCTGACTGTATGTATTAGCATAATCAGGATAGAATTTACATAGTATGCTCATTTCCATGTGTGTATAGGTAATTATGTGCTCAAGCCTAAGCCCTGGACTTGTTAGGTTCACAGCATAGAAACAGCCAGGTTTAATACTTGGTGAGTGAACTTAAAAAAAAAAAAATTTGGATTGTATCACTTCAGGCATATAATTTTTTATTCAGTCTGTTATTTAAGATGCATTTCCTTCTTGCAAGACAGAGTTGTTGAGTTTAGCCCTGATTCCATGAAAATATTTACATGCCTGTAATCTTCAAGAGCAGTACTGAATAAAATATGAGGCAATAAGAACACTCCAGATTTTTAGGCACTCTCTAAGGCTTTGCTCGTTTGCAGATTTGAGGACCAAAACAACCTGGTCTATAAAATGGCAATGAACATTGAATGATATGTTAACTGCTAGCACTATTGTGAACATCAAAACATAAAAGATGGTAATGATCTTGAATTTTAGAAAATTCAAGGTCAAAAAAGATCAAATTCAAATTCAAAAAAAAAGGTCTAACGTCACTGAGTTCAACGGATGTTTTAGTTCTCCTTCAGTCATTATATAATAAGTGCTTTCCTACAATGAGAACCCTTTCATACCTTATGTTGGTTCAGCTGTTTAGCCAACGCTTTGCTATTTTCAGGATGGATTTCTTGAATTTTTCGCTGAGTATCTTCCACTTGCTGAATCCAAGTATCCAATGAATTATAAGTATCTTTGTAGTATTTTAGAGATTTATTAATACCTTCTAAGTCACGCAGCCTGATTTAATATCAGAAGATATGCCAAAGGACAGAAGATAAACACAAAAGATAAGAAGTACAATACTAACCCAAACATAGCCTTCAAGGCTTCAGATGTCTTACTTTATCTAGCATACTAAACATACTAAAATAACAATAGGCAAATAGTAAATTAACTTCTCAGTCACTGTGATCCCCAGCTTGATGAAGCTTTTTCATTTATCATAAATGAAGCCCAGGAGAGATCCTATCACAGAAGAAACCCTGCATATATCCTCCACTCAAGAGCTAAACATCAGCTTGAAAACTCCATGAACACAGTAATCCCCAAGCATGCTGTAGAGGAGGTTTCTGCAACAGCAATTAACTCTGTTATGAGAAGAGGAAGCCTTTCAAATGTGGCCTGTGTGAATCAAGAAGGCAAAACGCTGTGCCGGAGACAAGTAGCTTTCACCATAGTCTCTCTGTCACCCACAGAACAATTGTAGTTATGCTAAAACCAAAGCCTTTAGATATTCAAACATGATAAAGCAAATGATCCTGTTTGGCTAAGTCCCTTTTTAAACCTGTTTTTACTTGAAAAAGACAGTGCTGTGTATTTCTTGAAAGTATTTGCAGTATTGATGAGAATACTGACCAGTTTTTCTTTTATGCTCCTTATATGGTTACTTCCAAAACCATATAAACATAGCTAATCCAAAAGACTGCAATATGGAGGGATATATTTATTTAATAACTTCTTATATTCTGGTTTTGAATATATACTTTGAATCAAGCTAGCATTGTTCTCAAGGTGCCAAAAGGAGAGTGAAAAAGAGCAAGCAAAGGAAATAATATTGCTTAGGTTTCAAACTTTAGCATATTCATAAGCTAATAACCATGAGAGGAAGGAAAGATCATCAGAACTGAAGCCAATATTTGTACATACTTTGATATAATGATAATCAGCATCAAGCTGTTAGGAAGCAGCAGAGTGAGCATTTGCAGAAAGCAGTTTGTTTACAGCTACATACTGCAACCACCACAATCTGTCATATTTATGCTCGAAGTCACTATGTATAAACAGTATTTTTTCAGCACATTCAATACAGAATAAAGTCCTACGGGGAGAGTATTTGATTCCTGTTTGCCCAATGAGGAAATAAGGACACTTTAGTATCTCACAAAACTACTCTTCCGTCATTTAAACCCTATCACACTATCAAATGAATGAAAAATCTCAGGAGGATTTAAAGCTAGGTGTTCTGCAGCGCAATTTTGGTCGTAAAGGCTAGTATAACATTTCAAATTGACCACCTAAAGAGTGGACTCATTCCCACGGTGTTTGGGGAAGCCA